GCCTCGAAATTTCCTCCTCTGGGGTACGATTCTCCCTTACCTAAAACATTCTTTATCTTCGACAACTTCTGCCATTAGAAATTTTCCACCTTGTCGAGCGGGGAGGGGAGCGAAGGAGAACAACCTAGAAAGCCAACAACTGGAGACAATTTTGCCATTTTCCCGCAGGCCAATGCGACCCCCCCCCACGCTCTTCTCCCTCTAATGACGAATACAACCCACTGTCGTAGGAACATACGTTGTGCCCTGATAAGGATAGGATTACCTCGATGTTGCGATAATCTCAGCTTTGCACAGGGATCCTTTGAGTTCATCCCCCCAAGGCTATAAGAGCCAAAAAAACATGACGCGGTATAGCCTAGGTCTGCAATCCATGGAGTTCTATTTATGGCATTACGGGAGAAAGAACTCTGAGTAGTGTGATCACTTTCCACGAAATGCGAAAACCAGTTTTGGCCTGAAGTTGTTTCACGCCACCGGAGTGGATCTCATAATACGTAAGCGAATGGAATGCGAACTTCTGCTACACCTGCTCAGACAGTACTTACTGTGAGTTTCCAATTTTTCGTGATCCTTGAGAATCTTTCCAGAGAAGATCAGGCATAGAAGAGATTTGTCAACATTATTAAGTTTAGTGACAAGAACATCTTTGATCTAAAACATATATGAAGACATGAGGAACTAAACGTAAAGAAATAGGAAAAGGTGCCTACGTCGGAAATGGTTGCATCGGCTTTAACTTCAACATCATAAGCTGCCGTTGTTGTCTTCACCTTTAACGAGATGGTAGGCACTGCTTCGTCCTCAACGTCGCTCATTGTTGAATTCCTGAAAGATTAGTGGAAAGCGATGAATCAAATGTGTAATTAACGCGAATATGAGTGACGAAAACAATATTTTCCAAAGCAGAGCTATGTCATCACTTTAGACCTACCAATCTCTGACAAAAAAGGCTAGAAATGGATTGGACTCATCCCTAGTAGCTTTTATCCATGAAAAACCCACTTCTAAATTACCACAGTACTTAACTGAACACGAAAATCGCGCTGACAATGTATTCGCTAATTACCGTAGCCGTTTTCGCGAAAGGAGACATGGATTCTTGGCTGGGTGCATGATGGATTCGTGGCATTGCGCGTGGGCGTGGCTTCAAGTCGATCGGCCAATTGCAGTAAGACACACGTTCATAGCCTGGTTCGGTCGCGCTGAAGTAGTGATGATGCTAGTTTCGTGTGGTCGTTACCTTCCAAGCAACTCCCATTTTGGAGCTTCTCCTGGGGATTCCGTCGGGGTCCCTATTCGGGAACCGGTCGTGCGGTCCTGCATGCACGGGTGGCACGTCCTACCGCGCGCCTCTCACGCCCTGTCACATGTGCTTTCACAATAACCAGGGCGCACCGATCGATAGGGGGCTGTCGGCTGTCCGCCCGTTCCCATTTGGGCATTGCAATAGGGTCAAGATCGTCTGGTTGTCGATCAGGGCTGACGTGTCCCACCCACAGGTTCAGTCCGTTTGGTTCATTTCAGAAACTATCGATTAGCATTTTTCCCCTCTCATCCCTGTCATG